CATTTATGATTCGTCATAAATATTCCCCTTTTTAGAGCTAATAAATAATAATAAACGTTACAATATATATATATAGTTGATTGACCCTAGTAGCAACTCCAGATTATGCATCTTAAATACAAATTCAGTCTAGATTTTTTTAGCAATGCATAAAGTGAAGAATGATCCAGATCTGTTCAAGGACTTATGACAAGATACACATGAAAATATATAATATATAAAGAAACAAAGATATACGAATTACATAACATGCTGTAGCAGGCAATAGCTGCCGGACAAAGAAAACAAACAAGCACACATGATTTCTATTCTGTTTGGCCTTTTCCTGCTGTTTATTTTACATCAGACCTTAAGGACTATAATCCTTCATTCTTTGGCAGTATGATATGGGTGGCCGAAGCCAGAGGGGAAGAGTATGATGAAAGACGTCGCATTCTGAAGCCTCATTTGAAGGTACAGGATTTCCCCGCTCCTCCCTTTTTTTTCATTAACGGGAGCATAAAAGTTTATTTAGGGTAAGGGACTGCCGTTCAGAATATTGTACCACGGTAAACTCCAGAGGGGAGTCAGATTGGTCAGCTAATGAGTCCTGACAGAGGCAGCAGCGTCCAGAAGCTCCTGAAAAATTATTTTGTTAATATCCTCTCCGTTTTCTGCCTCTTCATCATCCACTGGCAGGAGATAATGTGAACCAGTCGAGTGTTTGCAAGTTTTAAGAAAATGTATAGCATATGCGAACAAACACAAACACTGAAGATGGATGTGGAGCGTCATGACCTGAAATACTTGGCTTGATTTAGAATAATATTTCCTTCTTAAAAAACAATTAAGCAATAAAGTACTATAGGCTGTACTGTATTATGATGTGCAAGTATATGTGCTGTGCATTGAAGCCACGACCTGAACTGTTTTCTAAAAGCTGTTTTAGCATTAGAAATGCTAAATTGACTTCTTGTGATCATGCTAAGCAAGAAATCCAAGTGAAGAGAGTTACTATTATGAATTTGGCAGCAAAGAGGAGGAATTACTTAAATAAGGCCAAGGGCAAGATTAAGAGGCTTATTTAAGACAAACATTTATAATCTCTAAGACTAACAAGAAGTTGTCAAAACACTTGGATTGACAAAATTACAGTTTGTTTATATAGCTCTTGATAGAAAAAAAACTACGCAAACAAACAAAATAAAACAATACCAAATACATAAAATGCAAACCACAAAAAATGGAGATTAAAAATAATAGTTTTAAATATCAAAGGATGAGTGGATATAACAATGCATTTTGTCCAGTATTACTCATATTTATGTACATTCTCAAACAGAAATATAAATAAATATATGATAAAATTGTCATATACCTGTATATAAAATATTCATATTTGTGCTATTCAAATGTGCACTCGTTCTTTCATTTTTGTTAATATTTTCACAAAGTTTTCATTCTTTTTGGTCTTCTATTGATATATACACAGTATAACTCAGCACTCTGAGCCAAGAGAACACAACACCAAGCTCTATGCATGAGTCATTGACTGACCAGATAAAGCCTTTTAGCCCGTTATTTCATGAGGTGGCCTCAGTGAAGCAGTTATAATATTTATCATAAGATATTGTCACTCAGCTTATGTAACACTGCTAGCGCCAACACCCCCAAATAACACTGCTCCTCAAATGAATAAGGTAACAGATTACACAATCCATCCATTTGAACTGTTTTTAAACCTCGTAATACAGATCTGTATGTACATACATATATATATATATATATATATATATATATATATATATATATACATATATACACTCAGAGATT